ATAGTTCTGTGAGATTTTAAACAGAAGAAAGGTCTTCTAACTCATTCTATGAGGCAACCACATTCAGTTTCCTTAGGTGATTCTTTTGATACTTATCTCCATATGTCTAAATAACATGCTTTTATTGTTGCTTCTTGATTTGTAAATTTTATGCATTGTCTGTTCACTTCCAACCATGGAGGATAAGGATCTACCACCACTCACTCTATTCTTTTTGTCTTCCCATTCTTCTTTCTATATCAGCAAGAGACCATTCAGAGCACACCTGAAATCAAGTTAGTTTTATTATTTGCTGCAGCAAAGGAGACCCAACATCATGCAGAACAAAGATGAGTCTCAAAAGGAGATAGGGAAAGGGTGTTATAAAATTTATGGTGATCTTAGCAGGGATTGGTCAGAATTTGCTGATGGAGCATCAGTGGTTTTATTTTTAAAAAACTATGAGACCATGCAGAATTATCCTTGCATCAGTTTATTTGTGGTTTAATCTTGCCTATACGAGTCTCAATGAACTGGTGTTCATTGTGAGAGTCTAATAAATATTATTGCTCGGTTTGGTACAATTCTGTGAGTCAGTGTACTTTTTATAAGATGTGATTTCTGATTTAGTTCTCAATTCCTCCCTAATATCCTAGCTTCCAGAAGATATAGAGTATTTCAGTTCATCACTCAATATAGTTCTGTCACAACTGTGATTAAATTAATTTTCAGTGTTCACATTTCTACAGCTGTGTTGGCTGTTGAGCCCTGTATTATCCTATTATTCCTTTTCCTTTTCTCACTTTGCTGTCTTACATATAGACTTTTAGTTGACAAGCATTATTAGCAAAGCAGACTCAAAACAGTTCTTACAACCTGGTCTATAAACTTGATGAAGTCCCTGCTCTCTGTTTTTTAATTTGTTCCTCGTTGTGTGTGAACAGTTGAATTGAAACGAATTCAGCAATATTCCTGAAACTGGACACTTTTACCTCTAGCTGTGTCAAGCAGTCAGCAGTCCTGCTAAGCTCTGGTCATGGGATCAATTTTGGACTCAAGATAACAGATGGGGTAGAGATCTCAGTGAATTCATTAATAAAATCAACTTTATTTTTATTGGTTGCTAGTCTTCTTATTATTGAGTTCTAAGTGTTCCTTATGTATTCTTGATACAAGATCTTTTTCAGATGTATTTATTTAGATATTTTCTTATTTTTTGTTTTGAATATTTTCTCTTAGTCTGTGGCTAGCATTTTCACTTTCTTAATTGTGTATTTTGAAGGATCGAAGTTTTTACTTTTATGAAGTCCAATTTATCATTTTTTTCTTTTACAGTTAGATATTTTTGTGTTTAATTTATGAAACATCTTCTGATCCAAAGAATATAACATTTTTTTCTTATTTTTTTCTTTAAGTTTTACAGTTTTAACTTTAAAATTTCAGTGTATGACATTTTTGAGTTTATTTTGGTGTATGGTGAGAAGTGAGAGTGGAGGCTTATCTTTTTCTTTTCCTATACAGATATCCAGTTCTAGCTCCATTTATTGAAAGAACTATAATTTCACTATTGAATTATCTTTGTACCTTTGTCAGAAATCTGTTGATTAGATATGTAAGGGTCAATTTGTGGACTTTTTCCACTGATCTATATGTTTGTTTATCATTATGCCATATTACACTGTCTTGATTACTATAGCTTTATAATAAATCTTGAACTCAGATGGTGTAAATCCTCCAACTTTGATTTTTTAAAAATAGTGTTCACTACTTGAGGCCCCTGGATCTCCATATAAATTTTTTAAAGACTTTATTTTTTTAAGAGCAGTTTTAGATTCACAGCAATATTGAGCAGAAAGCACAGAGATTTCCCATATTCTCCCTGCCCCCACATATGCTATGCCTGCCCTATTATGAACATCCCCCACGAGAGTGGGACATTTGTTACAATTGATGAACTTACATTGACATATCATAATCACCTTGAGTCCACAGCTTACCTTAGGATTCACTCTTGGTGTTTGTACATTCCATGGATTTGGACAAAGGTATAATGACATGTACCATCATTATAGTATCACACAGAGTGTTTTTATAGCCCTAAAAATCCTCTGTGCTCTACCTATTGATATCTTTCTTCCCAAACCCCAGCTCTTGGCAACTCCTGAGTTTTTACTGTCCTCATAATTTTGCGTTTTCCAAAATGCCATGTAATTTTACAGTATGTAGCTTTTTCAGATTGGAATCACACAATATGTAGCATTTAAAAATGAACTTTTTTCACTTAGTTATATGCATCTAAGTTTCCTCTATATCTTTTCATGGCTTCATAGATCATTTCTTTTTAGCCTTAAATAATATTCCCTCATCTAGATGTACCACAGTTTATTTATTCATTCATCTACTGAAGGGCATCTTGGTTGCTTCCAGGTTTTGACAATCATGAATAAAGCTACTGTAAACATCCATGTGCAGGTTTTTGTGTGGGCATAAGTTTTCGACTCCTTTGGGTAAATACCAAAGAGTGTGAGTACTGGATTATATGGTAAGAGTATATTTAGTTTGTGAGAGATCTCCAAACTATCTTCCAAAGTGGCTGTACCATTTGCATTCGCACCAGCAATGAATAAGAGTTTCTGTTGTGCCATTTCCTGTCTGCTTCTATCCTCTGAAAAAGATTGTAAAAAAATTAATATAATTTCTTCCTTAAGTGTTTGGTAGATATCACCAGTGAACCCATCTCGGCCTGGTATTTTTTCTGTTTTGAAAAGTTATTAATTATTGATTCAATACCTGTAATAGATATAGGCCTATTAAAATTGTCTGTTTCTTCTTGTTGAGTTTTGGCAGATTGTGTCTTTCAAGGAATTGGTCCATTTCAGCTAGGTTATCAAATCTGTGGGCATACAGTTAGTTGTTCATAATATTCCTTTATTATCCTTTTAATGTCCATAGGATTTGTAGTGATATCTCCTCTTTCACTTCTGATATTAGTAATTTGTGTCCTCTTTCTTTTATTCTTAGTCTGTCTAGAAGTTTATCAATTTTATTGATCTTTTCAGAGAAGCAGGTTTTGATTTCATGGCTTTTTATCTATTGATTACCCATTTTCAACTAAATTGATTTCTTCTCTATTATTATTTCTTTTCTTCTGCTTGCTCTGGATTTAATTTAGTCTTCTTCCAAATACATGAGAGATTTAAATGGTAAAAAAAGTCTTATGAGTTGTAGGAGCAAACATGAGTGAAAATTTCATGAAATCCAGAAAGGAAAAGATTGTTTAATCTTATAAAAAGAAAGAACTTAGCATAGCAAAAGCAAAACAAAAGAAATATTTTTACCACACATAGAAAGACAAAAGGCAAATTGAAAAAATTTGCAATTTTTATCACAGACCAAGTACTAATATACAAGTAGCCTCTAAAATGGAGAAGAAAAAAAAACAACCACTCTATAGAAAATGAGCTAGTAATTTTTTTTTTTTTTTTTTTTTTTTTTTTGCGGTACGCAGGCCTCTCACTGTTGGGCCTCTCCCGTTGAGGAGCACAGGCTCCAGACGCGCAAGCTCAGCGGCCACGGCTCACGGGCCCAGCCGCTCCGCAGCATGTGGGATCTTCCCGGACCAGGGCACGAACCCGTGTCTCCTGCATTGGCAGGCAGACTCTCAACCACTGCGCCACCAGGGAAGCCCTGGGCTAGTAATTTGAATAGCTCATGAAATGGTTCTTAAAAATAAAAGCATAAAACAATGCCAATGCCCATTTATAATGAGAGAAATGCAAATTAACATACTGTGAAACATAATTTTTACCTATCATATTGGCAAAAATCCAAAACTTTGATAACCTTCATTATTGGTGAAGCTATGGGGAAAATGGGTGTTCTCATGTATTGCTGATAGGAATCAAAATAATATAATAATTTGGAGAGGCATTTGTCAACATCTAGCAAAATTATATGTACATTTATACTTTGATCTAGCAATCTAATTTCTAGAGCTCTAGAAGGTACAGTAGCAAAATGGAGTAAAGAAGCAAAAAGGCAAAGAACAAAAGTGAAAAGCTTTTCATTCCAGCATTATTTGTGATAGCAAAAGTCTGGCAATTTCCAAACTTTTCCCTGTTCATCAGCAGGGCACCGTGGGCACTACACAATAAATTATCATGCGGCTGTAGAAGAGAATGAGGGCTATCTTTTATAGAGGACCTCCAGTATATCTAGTATCAATAAAAAAAAAAAAGTAAGGTGTAGAAAAGACTGCGTTTATGTTACTGTATTTTTAAGGGGCGAATGTAGGAATACAGATGTATTTTTGTGTATGTGTATATATTTAATGGAAGGTTAAACAAAAAATACTGATTATTCTTTGGGAGAGGACATGGTATGAAGGAGACAGAAGCTAGATTTCTCTGAACATAATTTGATTTATAGATTTGACTTGGTAACAATGTAAGTTTTATATCGTTATAAACAAAATGAAATTTAAAATAATACTAAAAACCAGATACAAAATAAATGAATCTAAATGTATGAAATTGATAGCACAACCACAAAGAAGGGTGTTATGGCAATTAAATTTATATTATAGTTAATTAAACCAAAGTTGACTGTATATCCCCATGGATTATATACAAAGGACTAAAGGAAAAAGCAAAAAAAGACAAAATAATCTTACACTGTTTTTGGTAATCATATTGTTGGTGGTAATGTAGGTGCTATTTTGAGACTGGAGAGTGTTGTGGGATAATGTAAATGGGATATAATATAATAATTGGATGTTGAGAGCTGGACTGTTTTATATAGGAGAAAGGAGATACAGATAATAAGATTGATGAAGTTAATAAAAGTCCTGTAGTTCTGAATTTGAAATATCAGTATAAACACATGATTTATTGTATCATTTTTTTAAAAAGTATTTTGTAACTCTTTCCTCTAAAATGATCTGCAAAACAATGATGATCCCAAATCAATGAATACTTTTAGTGTACTGATTGTGGTCTCTATATCTCAATTCCCATTTAAAGGAACCAGAACTTGATGAAGAAATGCAGATTCCAGAATCTTGGACAGAAAATTTACAAGGTAATCCTGAAGTATCTTTTTATACAATAAAGTAAGGTAATTATCAAAGACAACTAGTGTTATTCCAAAAGGATAAAGGAACCATCTTGAATAGATTCTTTTTGGACGAAATATGGAATACTTTCAATGTCATTAGGAAAAGAATCGCAGTGATTTGAAACACATCAAATTGGTTTAAATCCATGAATTCATAACGATAGCAAAGAAATCATTGGTCACTTTTGGGCAATTCTAGGTTATCAACTCATTGTTCTGGAAAAAATAGCTGTTAAAGAGAAAGTGTTGTACCAAGCATTTATTCTTATTTTCTGATTCAAAATGTATCCCTGAGTAACCAAATATTTGGTGAGGGGAAATGTGTATTTATTAGTATTCCAGCTAATACATGAAGATGGAATAAGTAGAGTGTCACTATTTTGCAATCCTAATAAGTTAATGGGTCTCAGTAATGATCTTCATTGGTTTTTGGAAGTACATTACATTGCTTATGAGATATCCTTGCCGAGAAACCAAAAAGCCTCTAGATCTAGCAACCAATTTACAGGAGATGCTAGAAGGAGAGGAACATGCTGAATTATACCTTGGGGATGCAATCAGCAAGATCCATACTGTGGGATAACCCACAGGGGAATAAAAAACACTTCTTGAACAAATCAATTGAAAAAAGAAAAGAGATAAGAGAAGGCACATATCAACCAATTACAATATATTGACCTTATTTGGATTCTGATTGTAGCATAAGAACTATAAGGAAAAGTGGCGAGGAAAACAAGAACAGACAGAAAGAGAAAAAGAGACAGACACTTGTAGAAATTTGATACTTGTAGAGATTTGATACTTGTAGAGATTTGAACATTGCCTGGATATTTCATAATATTAGGAATTATTATAGACTAGAAGCAAGATACTCTAGTAGCAATAAGCACATCAAGTACCTGTGTTTTCTAAGTATCATTCTCTACTCAAGAACTGGCTGGTTCCAGATCTGGTTCAGGGAAAGTACAAAAAGTCTAGTGCTAAAAACACGGAAGTGTTCAAAGACTAATGGTGATATTTCAGAAAGAAACAGAAGCTTATGGGAAGGTTCTTCCATTGTCCAAATTTGGAATAACTTGGGTATCAAAAATGATGAAAGTAATGGATTACAGAACATTAAATAGAAGAAATTTCTGAGTCCACGATGTACTTAAAAAGAGATAAATATAAATAGAGAAAGGGAAAATTGAGAGAAACCTCTCTTTTTGGGATGGGAGGAGGCAAAAAATATGAATTAATAAAAGTAGAAGGAATTGTAGAATTAGGAAATTCTTCTTTTGAAACTGTCTATGTAATACTTGAGTTAGGCAAAGATCATTAATAGATGCTATGACTATTGGATCCAAGGTTGCTGGGGAATAGAATATTCATGTGATAGTATGGTATCTTCTCGCAGATCAATTTCTAATAACAAAAGAAAAAGTGTACCTTCAGCAAGTGATCAGATTTATTATTTCCAGTACAGGTACTGCTACCAGTGACAATAATATTGCAACCTGGTATCATGCAGTAAGAAGTGCATGTCACTTATCCAGTGCTCTTGGGGAAAAAAAAGTTTCAACTTGAATCTAGTATTGAGAAAATAATCAGACATCTCCATAATATGAGGTAGTCAATAGGACAACTGTCCTGGACTCTTCATAAAAAAATCAATGTCATGAAAAAAAAGAAAATAAAAAAAGATGCTCTAAGTTAAAAGAGACTAAAGAGGCATAAGAAGCAAATGCGATGTGTAAAACTTGATTTGGCTTTTGGATGTGGGAAAAAGTAATATGGAAGACATTTCAGAAGCTTCTGGAATATTTAAATAAGGACAATATTTTAGATGACATTATTGAATTATTATCAAATTTCAAAATATGATATTAGTATTTTGGTCATGTAGGAGAATATCTGTACTCTTAGGAGATTCTGGCTGCAGTATCTAGGGGTGAAGTGTTGCAGTGTTGGCAACTTACTTTCAAGTGGTTCATAAAACATACACATATATGTGTATATATGTATGGAGACAGATAAAACGTGGCAAAATATTAAAATTGGTGAAACTTGGTGAAGGTATACAGGTGTTTACAGTACCGTGGATTTGTTTTTTTTTTCTATAAATTTGAACACTTTTCTAATAAAAAATTGGAAAAATTAAAACCAGAAATATGACTTTGTATATCTTAAGAATTTAATGTTTACTTAAAGCTTATTAATATAATTAAAAAATATTTAATGTAGGACCAAGTCCTTCTCTTTAGGCAAGAAATAGGCAGTTGGAGTTCTGAATCTATCTTCCATAAATCACACCATAATTATAAGGATGTGCATTTTCAGTTACTGTAAAACTAAGTAACGTCACTTCCAATGAGGCAAAATTATTGTAAATTTTTTCCTCTAATATTTTACGTTTTTTAAATATTTTACATTTTTACATATTTTTATGTATTTATTACACATTTTTACACATTTTTACATATTTTTACATATTTATTATTTTACATTTCTCTCCTACAATTCATTTTTATTTGAATCTCTCCAAGTTATTCAGACTGGTTTTTATAGAAGAAGCAACTCTTTCTTCTCACATTTACATTTTATTAGTTTACAGGATATGTAATTAAATGTAATTAAAACAATAGGTACAACAAATATTAGCAAGTTTGGGGACAAATACATTTAATGCTCGGTAAATATACAGCTCAACTAGTGGGGACTGAAAAAGTACATGGATGTCTAAAAGAGTAGCCTACCACTTGTAAGGTTTTATTATGCTGTCGTATTAGCTGGGATATTTCACAGTGACGCTGTGGATAGTTGGTTAATCCAACAGATTGCTTGAGTGGAGATTGGTTAGAGAGGGTCTACTGTAGTCAAATGTTCACTAGCCTATGTTACAAACGGGATTCAATATTGTTCATACACAGTTAAGTTTTGTCCATAGTCATCCTCTGGTCAGATGAGTTTATGAATAATCTCTTCTGTCTCAATTACTGCCAAGGCCCTTCCCCTAGTTGAGTTAAGTAAAATGGCTTTAAACTTTGTTACAGTCACAAATGGGTACATTTAGGTCACTTTCCTTTCCTTTTATTCTATAACGCCCCCACCCCCAATAATTTGAAGCTGCTCATTTAGGAATTATGTTGCTCAGGCACTGTTTCAGTATCTGCTGGGAGCATGGCATAGAATCTTAGAGTTGTTAGTCAGTAGTCCTGTTGATTGTTTCCGAGGCAACTCCAATGAATTTCTGACTCTGTTAAAGCAGTATTGTAAGTTTTATAGCTCCCACATTGGAATCCTCTCAGAGGTAGGGCTCACTGTGAAGGGAATGTTGCTTTTCCTACTTGACCATTCCTTCTAAGAGAAGTTTTTCCTGCTTTGTGAGCCCTGAGAATGCTGTCCCGAGGAAGACTCTTTCCTGTGGTGGTATGCCAGATGGCTGGGTTAGATTTCTGTCTCTGTTCACTGAACTTGCTGCTCTGCTCTCTGAGGAGACAAGGGCAAGAACACCGCTGAGGGAGAGGCTTTCAACGGATTTGTAGGAGCCAGCATTTCTCTTCTCTAGAGCATGTTGTGCTTAAATGCTACTCTTCCCTTGAGGGCACCCTTCAGGTTCTGGCTTTTTCAGGCAAAGCAAGAGACCCTAGTTATTTCACTTTCAATCAATTCTGAAGCCACAAAGACCAAAATTGTCTCTTCAGATCCACTCAGACACCAAAGAGAGGCGTGGAAAGGAAATTGCTGCACATCTAGCGGCAGCTGTATAACTCAAATCCATCTCTGGCTTTCATTTTCTATGTGGCAGTCAGGAATTGAAGCTAACACTCAAATTAGCAAAAATAAAATGTTTCAAAAAATACCTTGGAGAATAAAGTCGATTTTCCATTGAAAACCTCCTATAGTCACTGTGGCAGGCTTTCCTACACTATTCATTGACCAGTTCTCTTGTACAAGGGAGAATTATACTCCCTCAATCCTTAAAGTCAGATGTGGTCATGGGAATTGCCTTTGGCCAGTGAAATGTGGATGCATTTAATTTCCAAAGCTTGAATCTCCACCGCTGTCTTCTCCAGACTATTGCCAAGCACTTATTCATGTAACCTGTGAAGATGAACCATCCATATTCTCAATCTGATTACTTGTTCCTTTTATTAACTTCATCTGAATGTATTATCCATTTATACATGTACCTCAATTTACTTTTTAGAACGAAAACAGGTATAAATGGAATTTTTAAATGCTTTATATGCCCAAAGGAAGTCCTAGTGAATTCTTTTGTGTATTGAATATATCAGTGTGTGTATTTTAACATTTTCACACAGTGACTTGATGTAAAGCAGAGCACATCAGATAATCTTCTTTTCTTAGCTGTTGTGTACCTTTGTTTACTATATGTTGGTTGTTCACTTATCAAAAAAATGCTTTTTGAGCTTCTGTCACATTCTAAGTGCTGTACCAAGTCCTGGGTGCACATGTTTAGATGTAGGAATAGCTGTACCTAAACATTGTGTGTGATTTGCTGCTCTGGACTCAATTGATTCCCCCTTACCCAATTCATTTGTTGAAGCCCTAACCTCCAATGTGGCTGTATTTAGAGCTAAGGCTTTTGGGAGGTAATTTGAGTTAAATGAAGTCACAAGGATAGGGTCCTAACCTGATAGGATTGGTGGCTTTATAAAAAGAAGAAATTTCTCTCTACCTCTCTCCACATGCACATACCAAGGAAAGTTAATACAATCACACAGTGAGAAGGCAGCAAGACAAGAAGTCTGCAAGCTTGGAAGAGGGTGCTCATCAGAACCTAACCATGCTTGTACTCTGACCTTGATCTTCTAGCTTCCAGAACTGTGAGAAAATAAATTTCTGTTGTTTAGGTCAACTAGTTTATGGTGCTTTGTTATGGCAGCCTGAGCTAACTAGTACATTTGTCAAGTCCAGGAATTCTATAAATAGAATACCTGTGAATCTTGTAAGAAATTAAT